TTTCAAGTTTCGACGATTAGAAATTTGGATGTTTCTTGAAGGACAAATTCAGCTATTATGAAATTGGACAATTTAGAAATATGTAGGTTGCCAAAGTTAGAAGTTCTCAAGTTTTTAGTATTCAAGTATTCAAGTATTCAAACACTGAAGTCTTCGAAGACTGAAATATTCGAGCACTGAAGTATTCAAGCATTGAAGTATTCAAGCACTTGAAGTATTCAAGCACTGAAGTATTCAAGCACTGAAGTACTCAAGCATTCAAGTATTCAAGCACTCAAGTATTCAAGCACTCAAATATTCAAACACTCAAATATTTAAGCACTCAAATATTCGAGCACTCAGATATTCAAAGACTGAATTATTTAAGCACTGAAGTATTCAAGCACTCAAATATTCAAGCACTGAAATATTCAAAGACTGAATTATTCAAACACTGAAGTATTCAAGTACTGAAGTATTCAAGCACTCAAATATTCAAGCACTCAAGTATTCAAGCACTCGAGTATTCAAGCACTCGAGTATTCAAGCACTCGAGTATTCAAGCACTCGAATATTCCAGCACTCGAGTATTCAAGCACTCGAGTATTGAAACACTCAAATATTGAAGCACTCAAGTATTCAAGCACTGAATTATTCAAGCACTCAAGTATTCAAGCACTCAATTATTCAACAACTCAAGTTTCAAGTATTCAAGTATTCCAGCACTCAAGTATTCAAATATTCAAGCATTGAAGCAACCAAATATTCATGTGTTCCAGTCTTTGTGTCTTCAAGATGTTCAAGTGTTCAAGTGACTAATTCATATGTTCAAGTCTTTGAATCTTCAAAATGTTCATGTGTTCAAGTCTTTGTGCCTTCAAGGTGTTCATGTCTTTATGTGTTCAAGTATTAAAGTGCACAAGTGTTCAAGTATTCAAGTGCATAAATATTCAAGTATTCAAGTGTTCAAATATTCAAGTGTTCAAATATTCAAGTGTTCAAATATTCAATTATTCAAAGTACCAAGCTTTCACATATAAAAATTCAATTTGCATATTTTGTAATAGAAGTATTAGAAATTCAAGTTCTTGAATGTAAAATTGTCACAGTAAACTCATCATCGAAAGTTGTCACAACGCGAGTTTAAAAGCGAAAATGCGAATGTATGAATATTCAATCGGATTTTCGGGCACATAGCGTTTAACTAAGCGAAAGATATAACAACTTAGTTAAATAATCTTTGCGTCGTTTACCATAACTTTGATACTTCGTTCCACCTGTTGAATTCATTGTCACCCACACGCATACTAAAAACAAGAAATCCACGATGTAAAACGATAAATCAAAGAAAACTTGTTTCCGAGGTAATTTTCACAGAATTTCCGTGGTTTCAAAGTTTGCAGCCGTGAAATATAAGTGCACGGCGTACTAATCTTTCACGAAAGTCTGCGAAAAAAGAACAACGATGACCACGATCAATTGAAGAAAAATAAGAAACGCCCGGGGAAAAATCACTTCGATAAATTGAATTCTGCACGATACTAACTGGTAATATAGTTCATCGCTTCGACAACGGGAACGTTAAATCGCGGAAAATAGAATGGAGCTACGAATTCGGAAACATTACTCGTGCATGAAACAAAAATCTTTCAACCTCTCGATTCTCCTCGGTAAACATTTCACACGATTAGGTCTGAACGACCTAAATATTCTGTCAGAAACGAACAATAAATCACGGCGAATAATTAAGATGACGTATTTTTTTAAAATCGCTGCGTCATGGTACACTTTTGAGTTTACAAGAATTTGTTGTAAATATCTGATTATGTCAAAGTAAAGATGGATTAATGTTGAAATATGAAAGTAAAATGTTATTTATAATTAGACTGCGGACATTTATGCAGCTACATGCGCAAAAAATATGCTAAGTAATTAGATGCTTCTTTATGGAATTTAAGCAATTTAATTATTTTTCTTAATTACTTGTGCGACGTTTGAAAAAAACTTTAATATGTCAAAATTTAGAAATTCAATAAGAGAAAAAGAGTGAACGTATATTTGTATGTTAAAGTATTGGTATGATTTATGTACTTCGACATATAATACACAATCATCCATACTGCAACTCAATAAATCTGACGCTGCAGGAAGAGGACATAAATAAAATATAATACATTCATTCTTGACGTAGAATATGTAATATGAAAAATCATCCGCAGTCCATTAAAAATAATTCCAGTAAAATAGTTATTAAAATTAATTCAAATAAAATTTGTACAAAACCACATTTAGCTCAAATTTGTACAAAAAGACTGCTCAATGACTCCCAACGAATGAACTCATTATCGAATTAACATTAATTGTCAAATAATTCGAGACATTGCCTTCACCTCAATTATGAACTGTGTGTAAACCTGATGCGTTACTACGTGCTTCGTTTCGCGAATGCATGCGAATCGCGAGTCGCTGAATTGCTTATGGGACCATGGTCGATTTCCCCGAGCAATCCGAAGGAAATGAAATTGGTAATGCAGTTTACTGGGCTGATTGCTTCGAAAAATCTATCGAATGTCTATCTTCTTTTATAGCGATTATGGGCCGAACGGGTGAAGCGGCAACGAAATTATTAAACAAACTTTGTTAAAAACCGTTTACGATAAACTGCGATTTATAAATTCATATTTATTACAAGAAACTTTTAATTTTTATGGGAGATTTCTTCTCGCAATTTTTACTACTTTATTATATTGTACTTCGTTTGTTAAAAAGTCTTGTGTTTAGTAAGATTTTAGTAGGACAAGTACCTAACCTAACTTAACCTATAAATTTTACTGAAATATTACTTTGTCATACTGCGCATTTTTTGTTAGATGTTAAGATAAACTTATTGGAACAACAGTGAATTCTAATTTAGCTTAACCTACAATTTTTACTGATATATAAATTTAACATATTATATGTCACTTGCTAATAATTATTAACGCAGACTATTAAAACTGTAACTAAATCTAACCTACATTAACCTACAACTTTTACTAAATTATAAATTTCCCATATTACACCCCTTTTATTACTATCTATTCATTAACATGAACTTTCACAAAACCTTGTTGCTATTTAATTTTTGTTCTCGTTCAAAATTAACATTCAACCTTATCGTCTAAACTTTATGAAATTCTATTAAATGTTTACAATACAATAACTTTTCAAAAATAAGCAGGAACTTTGTTTATAGAAAACTTTGTTTATCAGAAATAACCGACAAGAAATTAAAATACAAATGTCAACCTGAAAATATGGAACTCAAAGATAATCTTGTCTTTATTTTTTAAGTTAACCCTTGCTAGAGAAACGGCTATATTATTTCAAGAGTCTAATTTAGTGTTATATCAATGTACCTTCTGAGTACAAAAAAAAACGAAACGAGATTCATTTACGCATGTGAATATCGTCGAATGGAATGTTAACCGAGGACTGAACCGAGATTCTGTGAAAATTTGTCGCGCCATCTTCATTAATTCCGGCTTGTGAGCGCGAAAACAGCGTTATGGAGTGTACTTCCCACGCCATTTCTTTTTTAAATAAAATTCCATCGTATTTATAAAGCGCGATACAAAAATTCAAGTACGTGAAATTTGAAAGATAATTACACGTTGGCTGCCTTGCATTTTAATATTCAAAGAAGCGTCCTCAACAAATTTTAGAAAAATTATTTTAATTAATACTGTAATAGTAACAAGAAATGAATACAATTTTTTAAATTTAAATTAAAAAGTAAGATCGTAATTTTTTAATTCAAAAGTTAAAACTTGAAAATGAAAAAAATTAAAAATATGAAAATTTGAATACTCAAAAATTTTCAAGTTAAAGCCTGCGATGCACAGAACTATTTTTACCATGGCCGCCAACGCGTAACATTAATCAACCTGTCGATAAGATTGAACAGCTATCTGTAATATTGTCGAAGCAATGTAAAAAAAAGTACGAAAATACACACGGTAAATAAAGTGACAAAAGGAAATGTACTGTTTACATCGCAGAAACAAACTGAATTAATTACCGTATTAGGTCTCCCGTAAACTGGTTCCGTCTTGGGCAGATGCATTCGTAATCGACACCAGCACCGGCCAATGACGTTCCTTCATTACCAGTCAGATTGCCGTTACAAGACAAAACTGGCGTTGTCGGTTTATTGGCACGAAATCGATCGCTATATACGCGTCAGGCTAATTGATTTCAATCAATCTAAGACCCCGTGTGACGGGGCTGCTACCTTCAATTAAAGCTTTGCTACCATAAGAATCTTGAAGGGGTGACAGACTCACCCTCCCTGTTTTAATTGATTACAATTAACGACTATCGTTACCAGCTAAACGTGGACAAATAGAAAACTATACTCCTATACACACAGTCGACATGTACAGACATACAAATGCACATATATGCACGCGTCTTCAAGTAATTCACTGATGAATAGGCGTGTTAGGGGGATCGGTCAATTTCATCTCTCAAAGGACTGTCCGTGTCAATATCAATTACAAGACGATAATTATGACGAATGTATAGTCGAGCCTTCGTCCTACACGTTCTGACCTTGACAATCGTTCTTGCCTCAGCATCTCAATCCTGGCACGGTTCAGCTCGAAATATCACGGACCGATCGTTCAAGGAATGTCCCGAAAAAAACACATACACGGTGCTGTACATAAGAAGTATATAGCGCGGGATAGATGGCGCTGCTTTCGCCTTATAACAAACTCGAAACGCTGATTACCAGCGTTCGCCTTCTTTCTCGGTTGTCTGTCAAAACTTTCTTGTTGGCGGCGAATCAACGCGACACGTCGCTAATAAAGATCGTCGTCAACATCCGTGTCACGTTCGGGGCCAGCGATTCTAGTCCGAAATTTCTTTCCGACCCTTCTTTTCGATCCTAAGTCAACACCGCTAACAAGCTGACTACTTGGACAAACAGGTGGGTCGTGGTTTAATTTCGGTCCTAACTTTTTAGTTTCTCGTGATACCTTGTAGCCAATGCCAACCGAGTCTAAAGAATCCTCCCCTGAGCATGGAGTACACCTGACCAGCAGAGTTGAGAGCCATCAGTCTGATCCTCTTCGAACGATACTCTTCCGGGTGAAACAAGGTTGTCACAAAACACCGAGGAGACTCTCCAGAAACTCCTCGAGAGCCAAACGATTCACCGAGATCGACGATTTTCACCGAGGAGACGAGGAGGAGCATCGATACGCGCGCGATGTGATCTACGTATGGGCCGGGTTCCGTTCGAAGGGGATGGTACTGGAGGAGAACGAGGGACGATCCAGAAGAGACAGGAAGTGCACGAGGTTCCGGTGATATGGCGGCGTTTGGAGCACGATGGCGGCTCGCATCTCAACCGCGCGACGGCTCGGAGTCGACTGGCATCCCGAGGGCTTCGACGCCTCCTGTTGGTCGCTCGGTGGTCCTCTCTCGCACCACCAGGCGCAGACGCCCCAAAACAATCACCGTCCACGATCTGTTATTCTTACTTCACATCGAACACGTTTCTCGGCCGTTTTTACCGCGTACCTTGCAACCCGCTTATGATAACCCTTCTGGATCTTCGACTCATCAACAGGTTCTAATTTATCAATAACGCGCGAAGTACACTTAGATGCCATGTTTGCTTCTTTTGAATACGTGTAAAGATTTGTCAACTTTTCATGTTTACAAATTAAATTATCAAGTTTGTGAGTCTGCAGATTTTTAGGTCTTCTGATTTTGAAGTCTTTAAATATCGTACATTGGCAAGTTTGTAAATCTCTAGTTTTGCCAATTTTATTTTATTACTTGTAGATCAGTAGACTATTTGTAAGTCTCCAAATTCTCCCCAAATATATTACTGTATGTCAAAACCTTTATTCGTAATCGATCACAAATACCTAAGTCTCCAAATGTGTACATCTCCGAATGTCCAGACAACTCTTTATGTGATTAACCAAAGATGCACAAATTCAAAATTAAAGCATGAGTTAAAGGTTGAAACTACACAGCCCAATAAGTCAGCTTCCTCAAAAGAAACTGTGTCATATAAAGGTCAAAGGAATAAATTCACTAACTCATTTCCTTATTGTTATCGTCTCTCATTACCTCTAAGGATGCTTTGATGCAGTCTCGTACTATAATAGAGGCAGCTACTTTTCTTTAGAATTTCCTTATCAATTTTTCAACCCCTCGTACCCCTTTCCCGGTATTTGATGTTGCCACGCATGCCACCTGAGACACACGGTGTCTTCATTATTCCACTTGTGTCAACCCGTTCATATCCTTTAGCTGGAATTTACCGGCTACACATATATCATTTGACCTTTGCAAAATCGTTCGCAGCTCACTAGCTCCCCATTCGAATTTATTTCGCCAGCTGCTCACCTTCATGTTCGTAACTTTTATTATTGCATTATCTATGCATGAGCTTTTTGCCGATTTACATCATTCCACGGTTAGAATTTTTTAAATTTGCTCACGAGAAGTTGCGAATGTCGTCGTTACCGACTCACGTCCTTGCTGCATATATTAAAGATGAAACCGCGTTAGGTATCCGATCACACGTGATTTTATCCCATCGATTCCTAGTTACACGATATGATCGTTAGCTACGTCTCATCTTTGTTATACTTCGACAACTTCGTGTTTGCAGCTTTTAATTTTTTCTTCGTAACGAAGGAAAGACTCTCTTGTGTCTTTTTGTTCGAAGACTTTCTATTGTCGCTTTTTAAATTTTTAGTCCATTTTGTGAATCAAAATTTAGGTTTAAAGAAGGTATAAACATTTTAGAATTTATAAATTCTTAAGTTTCTAAATTGAAGGATTACAAAATTTTTAATTTGACAATTTAGTTTTATTTAGTTTGTCTATTTCGAAGATGGAAACATTGGAACAAGTGTTTTCATCGAGAAATCTGGGAACTGTAAAACTATTATCTAGTGTTTATTTTAAATCACGGAATTAATCTCCATACGAGGAACAATGTAATAAAATTACAATCTCTGGTTCACAATCAATTTTCATCCCCTGGGTCGCAGGTTCATTAAGTAGTCGTGGTATAGGATATCCAGACAAAAGGGCAGATATGCTCCAAAATCCGGTGGAGTGCCGTTACTCCGTCGAAAACGAGCCAAGGGCGATATATGCAGCGACGTCGAAATAATTAAATCTGGCAAGAGCGTAAAATCGCATCACAAACATTTCTTTAGACAGTCAGTTATTTTTTAAAAATACTACGTTTCGAAATATATAATCCTTCAACATATTTAGTATACAAACTCAGAAATTCGGAAACTGCAGTCTTACAACATTTAAAAATTTTTAAATTTACAAGCTTTTAAATTTTGTAATTTAACATTTTATAAATTTGCAAACTGAGAAATTTAAAAATTTTATAATTTGGAATTTATAAATTTCACTTATATGGTATACAATCTAATTTCTTCTACATTCATTGTCCATCCACGGCAATATAACGAGACTAACCTAACATCTTCCTTCCTACTCAACCATTTCCACGTCATTAACTGCAGAATAAAACTAACCTCTTAAACACATAAATTTTTTAACATTTCCACAAATTCATGAATAATCAACCTCTCAAATTTTAATTACCATTCCCTTTGCAACCGAACTGGAAACCTTCCATAGTCCGCGTGAAAAATCTACATAGTATTACATAAGTGAAATTAGAATTGTAAATGCGGTGCAGGTCTCGGTGTTCCAGCTTTTTCATTCGTACTCTTTTTTTAGAAGAACGAAGAAGTATAACGTATATTTATGGAACCAGGTTATTGCTATTCGAAATTGCCACTTTCTTTATATTCCTCGTTTACAGATTTTCAGTCACAGCTTCTCGAGTTCCTGCCGGAAATGCATGTGTAGTAACTTCGGCTGTTAACTCGGTTAAATCTGAAGCAAGTCTGTACAATAGTAACATTTACGGGTAACCTTTTTCTGTTCTACTTTATGCATGCTGCTGTGATATTTAGAATAGGTAATTCTTAATAATAGTTATTTCGAATGTTTTTGGCGGGAAATTGTGGTGAAATGCCTTTGGATGGAGTGAGATTTGGAGAGATGGGAATTTTGGGATGTGGGAATTAGGGGATATAGTAATTCGGGGATTTAGAAATATAGAGATATGGATATCTAGGGATATAGGAATTTGGGGATGAAGGTATTTGGATACATAGGAATTTTGGAATATTGCAATTTAGGGATATATGGGAATTTGGGAATAGAGGGATCTCAGGATATAAGAATCTGGGGAAATAGGGAATACGGGAGAAAAAAATTGGGGGATGTAGGAATTTGGGGACGTAGAAATTTGGGGACATAGAAATTTGGGAATATAGAGATTTGGGGATGTAAGAATTTGAAGATGTAAAAATTTGGAAATGTAGAAATTTGTGGATGTAGAAAATTTGGAAATGTAGAAATTTGTGGATGTAGAAAATTAGGAATATAAGGATTTGGGGATGTAGGAATTTGGAAATATAGAAATTTGAAAATATTAAAATTTGATACCATAGATATCTGTTAATATAAAATTATGAAGCAATATAACCTAGTAATATATCTATAAATAGAATTCTAAAAATGTTAATATTTGAGAATACAAACCCCCAGTATAAAAATCTACAACTATCTAAAATGAGGTACACAGAAGTACGAACTGTACAGAAATCTAAATATATAGGTTATCTATTAATTTTGAAACACGTCATGAACACACATGCACATCCTCCCACATTTCTGCAAACACACACCGAAAGTATTTTCCACTAAATTATTTCACGTACATAATACATCATAACTCTCCTTCCGTTCAGACATAAAGAGTAGATTTCCCAACGTACAAGATAAGATTCCTAGAAGCAAGATAAATTATCCCATAAACGTTCTTTCCGAACTATTCCCCCAATTAACTCCCGTACGCGAAGAGTCATCTTTCCGGACAGCAGAATAATTTGTCAAAAACAGTGTATTACAAACGGGGTCATAACCGCCATAAAGCAGCACGATTTGTCGGTCGAAGCCACATATTTCCACAGATAAAATGTGTCCTAGTCGAGTCTGGTCTACGACCTAGTTTTACCTTTCTTTCGAGTATCCTAGATACATGCGGATATGTGTCGGGCTTTGTCAATCTCCGAACTTCCATTTCGATGAACTTTTTTACGTGCATTCTTGCATTGTTCGGTGAAGTCCGTTTTAGTACTCGGATAACACGATCTGGAATTCGCTCTTTGAAAACGTCAATTGAGGCCGGGAAAATGGTTGAAAGGAATCACGTAAGATGATCTTTATTTTTGAAACTTTTCATTGTGATTGATCGTTTGTGATGTGGGAGGATCGTGGGTGAAGATAGGTTATTTTTATGGTTATGTCTGGTTTGTGATATCTGGGCGATTTAACGGGATATATTGAACGTAGTTTGTTCTTTCAATGGATCGTGTTATGTATGTTCAGAGTCGGCGATGTATGTGGAGGATGTCTGGACAATTGGCAGACGAGTGGGACTTGTATCTTGGAATATATAATTTAATAAAATATTTGTAATATATTTAGAAATACTTAGGAACAATTTGTAGATTTAGAAATGCAATTTTTAGATATTTGACAAATTTGGGGATTTTAAGGAAATTTAGGAATTTGATAAATTTGAGGTGAGGTTAGGTGTGAAGCTTGAAAAATTTTGAAATGTGAGAATTTGGTAATTTGAGAAGTTGTATTTATGAGAATTTGAACATGTGAAAATTGGGGAATGAAAAGTTGGAAATTTGAGAATTTGGGATATGAAAAGTTGGAAATTTGAGAATTTAGAAATTTGAAAAGTTGGAAATTTGAGAAGTTGGAAATTTGAGAAGTCGGAAATTTGAGAATTTAGAAATTTGAGAAGTTGGAAATTTGAAAAGTTGGAAATTTGAAAAGTTGGAAATTTGAGAAGCTGAAAATTTGAGAAGTTGGAAATTTGAGAAGCTGGAAATTTGAGAATTTGGAAATTTGAGAAGTTGGAAATTTGAGAATTTGGGATATGAGAAGTTGGAAATTTGAGTAGTTCGA